AATAAGAAAGAAATAAAGGGACGAAACAACACGGCTAAAGGACTGTCATTCATCCGGGACGAACAGCGGCGCGTCAATTAGGGCCAATAGGGGACGAAATGCCTCAGTGGCTTAAAGCGTAGGCTTAGCCTCTACATATCAGCACTACAGTCTAAAGTGAAATGATCATGTAACTATTGATAGCTTCCTTTTAATCCTAACCGGAAATCGACCAAAAGTAGTTTCGTGATGGAGAATTTGAAGGAAACTGGCTCATGTATGGTAATTTGAGAGGCTTTCATTTTGGAAGGGTGAATCAGAATGCCCTGTGACACCTTGGGGATGTGCACTATGAACCTGTGGAAAAGTGGAATTTTCATGTAGCTATTGGTCGTTTCCTTTTTAAATACCATCTGAAATTCATTATAAGACTGTTTAATGAGATTTAAGAGAAGGTTTGATAATGTATGACATTTCGTTTCGTTGACATTTGCTATGACTTTTCAGCTTTCTAGCTCTTAAGCTTGAATTTATATGAATCAATAATCATTAATATTTTAACATGGTTTTCCAATGGATACCGTTTTTCAAATCCTCTAAACTTCTTCAACTTTCAGATTCTTCAGCTTTCAGATTCTTCTAGTGTCAACTATTTTATGAAAAAAATGCATCTCTGTCTGTGACTCACAGCTGCTCCTATTACCTCATTAGTGGAGTCACATGACGCAGCTATGCTTTCTGTCAACAGACCAATATGATAAAGACGCTCGCCCCCCCTCCCCCCTCCACCATGACCTCTTCTCACTGTTAATCAGTCACTCAGTCAGTCTGTCTGTCTATTTCTCCTCCTCGCTCTCTCCATCTCTCCTCACCACCCCTCCCTTCCTCACCCTCCCTCTCTCTATCTACACCCCCCCACCCCACCCAATCCAATAATATCAAAATAAAAGCCCCATGGAGGGAATTTTTACTGTAATGTTTGTGATGAGGCCTAGTAATAAAAACTTAGTTTGAATAACAAACATTCAGTCTCCCAACCCCCCCCTCCCAATTCCATCATTACAAAATAAAAGCCTCAATGATTATCTGTACCTTAACCATGAAGCTCAGAATGAAGCGGTTTCGTTGAAATACGTATTGCTCTTTCAAATACTACTACAACCACTATGAATATTACTAGTACTTCTAGTACTACAACTGATACTTCTACTACCATACTACTAGTATTTCTACTGCTATTAATACTACAAGTACTAATAATGTTATTACAAATACTACTATGGCTAATACTATTAGTATTACAGCTGGTTCTACTGCTATTGATACTAAACCGACTTCTACTGCTAGTACTACTAATACCACAATTACAACTATAACAATACTACTACTAATATTACTACAAACAATTTTCAACCTCTTTTTATTCATCTCAGCTTTTGTTATTTCTGTACTATTTAACATTCAATTCAGCTCCTGCAACTTCTGTTTTTTTTTAGAAATCTATTGAAATTCAGCTTCCCCACTTCCTGTATTTTCAGCAGCTTTTTAAAAATAATTTCTGCTTTTCCTATGTCTCTATTAACAGCAATGGTTTTGATATTCATTTCTGTATTTTTTTTTGCAAGATTTCACATTTATTTCAGCTGTTTTCATTTCTGCTTTTTCAGCAAATCTATTGAAATTCCTTTCAGCTTCTCCCACTTCTGTATTTTCAGCAATTTCAAATTAATTTCAGCTTTTCTAATATCTGTAATTTCAACAGATGTATTCAAATTCCCTTCAACTTTCTGTATTTTCAGCTATTTTTAAATATTCATTTCAGCTTTCAGCTTTTGCATTCCAACGCATTTTCAGCAGGAAATGCATTTTCTAGTTATTATTATTATCTTGCACACATCTTGCAAACATCCTGATATGTAGAACTCATGAACAACGGGAGGTGTGATGATCCGAGAGCCTAGAGGGATGGACATCCCTGTGCTCCAATGGGGCTCTCCGAGGGTTCTGTTGTATAGCTGGAAACTGTGTAAAACAAAAATGCTTACAAAAACATAATGCTTTGCTTTATGCACCAAGAGTCGTGCACCAAAAAGATGAAAAGAATGTTTCCGTTTATATGTAAAGCTGTTTTTCTGTATAGACACTTACGCCTCACATACACAAGTGAGTTACGACACTTACACATCTGTTTACTGCATTCATAATGAAAGTGTACATTTCATGCCTCACTTTGTCCCAGGTCGGATCATTCACCAAACACATCCATTACCCACTGATTTCCACCGAACATACTTCTATGTTTCTTACTGTTGTTTAATGGAAATTTTGACATCTTATTCATTGTGCTTTTTGGTGTGTTCCTTTTGTGCTTTTGCATTGATCATCAGTGTCAGTACAATCAGTGTAACTGCCTTACGAGGCTGATCAATGACCTCCTTGTTATTGCAGTCCGGGGGGAGGGGCTCGCGGTCCCCAATTCCTCAAGTAACGCAGAACGCAGACCTCATAAAAGCCTCCCTATTTGGAGGAGCTTTGAACCCTGCAAATATGAATTATTTTACAGCAAACAGAACTTCAAATATCAACTTTTTTATTGAACTTGTGCACGTAAGAATAAACAATCCTGCCGGTTGCAACTGCAAGAAACTGTGTTTTCTTCTTTTCATTGTGCACACCATCTGTGCATGGGTCCACCTTAATATACAATTACGTTACTTCACTTGTCTCCTGCTATATTTTGTTACCAAACAAATGTAATCAAATAATATGTTTTAATGCTACACACTATAACCTTTAGGCTAGGACAAACAACTTCAGAATTTGTTGTTGCAATAAAGTGGTTTTAATAATAAATGAGTTGAGCATTTACAGTCCACAGACCACTACTGTCTATGCTACTGCTCAGGTACCAGGACCAAAGGAGTCCATGAGGGTTACATATCTTTCATCACACACAAAAGTTAGGGCGGCACAGTGGTGTGGTGGTTACCACTCAGCGTGGTTACATGGATTTGAAAAACTGGCTTAGCCGGACTGATCGATTATCCGTTTCATGTAAACACCTTTGTCCAACTATGTGCGGTCCGACTACGATCGACTAACACCCCTGGATAACTCGATCCGATCCAGTTGATAGTTTGACTATGCGGCATGTAACGGTATACGACATGTATATTGGGATAATAGCACCTTCCCCCGAAAGATAGCATAGTCCGACTAAGCAAAGATTTGATTATACCATATGTAAACACACTCACTGTCTCCTCACAGCAAGATGGATTCGACTCCCCACAGTGGCCTTCTGTGTGGAGTCTGCATGTTCTTCCCGTGTCTGCCGTGGGTTCTCTCTGTGTACTCTTAACTTGCAACGGTGTTTTGACACAATTTCACCCTGATGTCAACGCCCCATCCATGACTATGAAGGACACATGTGCTTCACATAAACACTGAACTCAGGCCAAATACGGCTCTTCTACGTTATACACAATGAGACCGAGCGGATAATCTTCAACCCTAAACACGTTTTTTTTCACACATAGATATTTTGTGAGCATGCTAAAAGAAAAGAAAAAAAATTAATCGCGCTCTTTAAAACTAATGAAAACTTCCCTCTAAATGTGCCATACAAACTACTTCTCATCCAGCATGAATTACCACGGAGATGCCCCCCTCCCCTCCATGCAGGGAGTGATAACGACGATAGGTTAAATAA